GAATGGGCTTCCATAATTTTCCATTTTTGGGAGTCTGACAAGTCCATATTTCACCCACAACTTGTACTAAACACTGCTGAACACAACTTATACCACACTGATAAAGAACCTAGAGAGTATAGATAACATAAAAGGTAATTGTAATGTTTGTTTTTTCACTGTAGCCTGCAAAAAATTACATTAATGCCTATAATAATGGGTGATCACGTTATTTTGTCCAACCCCTGTATATATTTTCATGCTAGATCATCAGTTGAAGAGCATGACTCTTTACTTTAATATTATCAATGTCAGTATCAAACATTAAAACAATCTGATTGCCTTTCATCCACATCTCTTTTAGTTCTCTACATACTTCCTTTCTCTTCTCACACACTTCACACACTCTCATTCTCTTCATTTTGTCCATCTTTATAGAGAGGCTGCAGTGTGTGGTGTAGTGGAGCTGGAGCACCGGATGAATGACCACAGCTCTCAGTTCCCTGCAGCAGCAGGGAGATTCCATTAATGTGTTACTAATTGCTGTTAAGCGGCCTGATGTTTGGAAGAACAGAGGCTGTCGATATGCCTGTGCTAGTATATAGGGACAACTCAATGCAGGCCAACACCCCATCCCACCACAGGACACAACATCACCACATCTGTCTGTCAGTCTGTCTATCAGTCAGTCAGTCAGTCAGTCAGTCATTGTATAATTCTGCCTACCATTCCATCTATTGTTCTATAATTCTAACTCTGGATTTCATAATATTGCCAAGCTGTGGATGGTTCTCTTAACCTACAGGTGTCTTTTCATACTTTAAAACAAAGATCTCAAGTGTCCTATAAGTCAGCAGGTACCAGCCTGTCTGGAAATTGCCATCACACACACACACACACACACACACACACACACACACACACCATCCCAACAAAGATTAGTCCTGTCTTCAGCACAGCCAGTCAACCTTGAAGGTCATTCCGGCCACCATTACTGATATATAAATACTCACAGTAAAGAAAGAGTGTTCAAAAGAAAAAAGAAAATGGGATTTGTTATCTAGCATGAGGGCTCTTAATGAGCTGCTCTGCTGCCCACTCTCATGGCCTCCAGTGAAAACAGATGGATCTGATGCCCTCAGGCGACTCCATCTCTGTGGCTGTGGGTTGTCCGAAGGTTACATCAATGCAGTTAGTGCCCACTCTTTCTCTCTGGTAAGCCCGGAAGCATCCCAGCTTTACTGTCTGGATGCTAAAGGGCTGGTTTGCATGAAAGTCCCTAGATGACTTTCCCTTTCAATTAGATTTTTTACCCTATTTTTGATTAGGACTCCACACTTTGCAAGTTCATTTTATTGATCTTAAAAATGAATAAAAATGAAACATCTATTACTCACCATGCACAGTTTGTTTTATGGGCATGAATGTGTATTCAGAAATCATGTGGCATATTGTAGAAGTGTACTAGACCTAGCGGTGGGCTTTCTATAGTATATGTTATGTTATGTTTTGTCATGTCGTGTCATGTTGTTATGTTATGTTATGTTATGTTATGTTATGATAGGATGGTTTGAGGGTGAGTAAATCATGGGGTAATTTTCATTTATGGGTAAACTAACCCTTTAATAATTGCAAACTGGTATTTATTATCATATTATTTATTATTAATTCATTATCATAAGCACACTGATTTGTAGCACAAATAGTTTACTGCACTTTGTGATTCTACTAGTTATTTAAGCGGCTAATGAATAATATCTTATTTCCGTGTTGCAAAATAAGGTTGAATATATTATGTCATATAAACCGTGGACACAATAGGTCAACATTCACGGGCATAAAATTACTGTATAAAATGCTCAGTTTGTGCTTTCTCAGGTTTAAACAGAAATATAAAATTATTTATAGGCCCGGTCTGCAGTGTTTACTGCATCATGCATGCAGTATTACGAAGCAGTATTTTGCTCTCATTCTTACTGACTTGCTAAAGTGGAGTGAAATGACAAGTTACTGTGGAGGTGAGCATACTGAGGCTGTAATACTTAATGGCTTGTCAGATTTATTAGCTTGCCAGCTATTGTAATATCCTGCTGTCTCTCCTCATGAGCTGCAATGGCAGCACATCCTGTCAAGTGTCTTTCTCCAGAGCCACAGAAGTGCACTGTGAGCTTCCTGTCACAAAGTCGGAGGTTTCCATTCTGTATTTTATCACTGCGCTTATCGATGTTTTAATAAAAAAGTGAAGTGAGATTTAAACTATAAATTTTTCTTAAAACATTTACAAAAAGTACTAGAAATATCATAATAATGTGTTTTGGACATCTGTAGTGGTAATTAGATGAATAAATTCTTGTATATGATTATGTCAGTAAAGTTACCACAGTATTACCATGACTATACTGTTTTATAAGGGAAGGCTGAATGATTTAGTGGTGTATTAATATGTAGCCGACTGTATTGCGGTTCTTTCAGCTTTCCTAATGACTGTTCTCTAACCTGACAGCTTTGCAAATAAGGCATTAAGCTGGTGCGCCACAGTTTCTTTTACGTCCTCCTGAAAAATTGATCTGCTGGGCTAATGTTGCCCGGGTAATTAAAGGGATGGAGCTCTCTGGATACAAGTTATAAAAATCAACTTACTGAACACGAGTTACAGTCCCCATAACGGTTTTCCTCAGATGTCTTTTGAATTTCTTGCAGTTAATTGTGTTATGTCCGTTTATCAAATGCCATGCAAAAGTGTTCAGACTGATCAGTGCCCTTTTTTCTTCTCAATTACAAAGACTATTGATTTTTTTTTCCTGTGCTGTTTTCATATCTAAGCACTCAACTGCAAAATTCATTTTAATGTGGGATTTGAAAACTAAACAAATGTAAAGTATAAAGCTAAAATAATTACATTTTTAAAAAATGAAGGTGAACTATCCCTTGATAGAAACATACAACACAAAGAGTTTTTGAGGAGTTGGAGTTCGATTGAGTAACTCATGTCTTATTTGTCTTTGTAGTTTGACATGCAGCGGATTACACTGGAGGAGCTGAAACACATCCTTTTTCATGCCTTCCGAGACCACCTGACGATGAAGGACATAGAGAACATCATCATCAATGAGGAGGAGAGCTTGAACGAGAACTCCGGGAACTGTCAAACAGAGTTTGAGGGAGGTGAGTGTAAACTTGCTGCCTTGCGCGTGTGTGTGTACCTGGTATTTATCACGTTATGGGGACCAAATGTCCCCACAAGGATAGTAATACTAGTAAATTTTGACCTTGTGGGGACATTTTTGAGGTACCCATGAGGAAACAAGCTTATAAATCAAACAGAATTTGTTTTTTTGAGAAAGTAAAAATGCACAAAGTTTCCTGTAAGGGGTAGGGTTGGTGTAGGGCAATAGCACATACAGTTTGTACAGTATAAAAACCATTACGCCTATGGAATGTCCCCATAAAACATGGAAACACAACATGTGTGTGTTTGTGTGTGTGTGTGTGTGTGTGTGTGTGTGTGTCAGTGGAGTTTTAGGGTATGCTGTACTAAAAACGGCAAAGTTTTTCCTTTGTGTTTTTGAAAAGTTTCGCGTACAAGACAAAACGATCCCCATTCACACAGATCTGCGAAAATGACTAAAAATTATGCAGGTCAAGCCGGTAGTTGGCAATGCCACTTTGTAAAGAAACAGTACACGTCTGCACACATACCTATAGACTGATCACATAATATACATATGCAAGACATCACCATTTTCATTTGCATTTTTGTAGTTTAGTTAGACAATAACGGTATTATTTTCAAAAACTTGTGCTTTGAAACACATTTTCAGGCCCCCAAAAAGCCATTGTCTTGTAAACAGCCCCTTAGAGTGGGCTGGTTGTGATGTCACTGTATAGGGAAGGCTAGGCTCATGAATATTAATTAGCCCTAGATAATCTCCTTGACTTTCCAGTCACGCTACTTGAATTCTAATACATTTCGTCCTTTAAACGTCAGTACAAAATACATTATGATATAAAGATCATTTCAAATAAATGAAGTATCAAATAAAGTATTCTACAATATTCATGATTTTAGTTATTATTTATGATAATCAACATGACAGAGAGGGTTTTTTTCATGTAAAAACAAAATGCAGATGGTGGCCCTTGTGAAAATAAAGTACACTTTAGTATAGTTACAAAGAGTAGCCAACTTATTAGTTCAAACACTTAACTGCGGTTAAATTAAAATATATTATTATTTAAAATGAATTAAATGCAGTTAGGGCAGGGGTTCTCAACTCTGGCCCTCGAGCTCCACTTTCCTGTAGAGTTTACCTCCAACCTTGATCAAACTCACCTGTCAGTAACTTTCTAGTAATCCTGAAGACCTCGATTAGCTTCTTCAGGTGTGTTTGATTAGGGTTGGAGCTAAACTAAACTAACTTTCCTGCAGAGTTTGGAAAGTGGAGCTTGAGGGCCAGAGTTGAGAACCCCCGAGTTAGGAAGTGCTTTTTTGGCCCATTTAAGTACACTGTAAAAAAAATTATATATGTAATAATATAAGGGTAATTTTTTTTCGAAATTGAGATTTATACATCATCTGAAAGCGGAATAAATGAGCTTTCCATTGATGTATGGTTTGTTAGGATAGGACAATATTTGGCCGAGATACAGCTATTTGAATATCTGGAATCTGAAGGTGCAAAAAAATCAAAATACTGAGAAAATCGCCTTTAAAGTTGTCCAAATTAAGTTCTTAGCAATGCATATTACTAATCAAAAATTAAGTTTGAATATATTTACAGTAGGAAATTTACAAAATATCTTCATGGAACATGATCTTTACTTAATATCCTAATGATTTTTAGCATAAAAGAAAAATCAATAATTTTGACCCATACAATGTATTTTTGGCTATTGCTACAAATATACCCCAGCGACTTTAGACTGGTTTTGTGCTCCAGGGTCACATATCAGTAAGTCATGGCGACTCGTCAAAATAATTTGAGCAATTTCAACTTTTTTTATAAGTTATATGAAATTTAGCTTGATTTTTAAGTCAGTATAATTTAATTTGTTTAAATGATTTATACAACCAAGTTGATTATATTTAAAAAGTTTTTTTTTTTATAAGATGAAATACTAGGTGGCTATATATACAGTGTATGACTTAATCTTTATGTAATTTCTTAATTTTATTTATTTATCTTTTTAAATTTAATTTCTTAATTACTTCTGTTGGTTAAAGTGTACTGTTGAGTGTCATGATAAGCATTTATTGTAAACTAAAATATTACTTTAATGTATTTCTACTGAAACTGGTCTGTCATGTATTGTAAATATATTTATTATAACATTTTGTAATGATAAAGTTGCAATTGAATGCATTTAAAATATCAAATAAGGTATTCTACAATATTTATGATATAATCATTATTTATGAAAAATGTGAGTAAACATGAAAAAATGTAAATGAATTAATGTATATAGAGAAGAAAAAATGTAATAAAGCAAGTATAATAAATAGAAAGGCGCATAAGATACAACATGCAAATAATTAACTAATTTCAGCGTTTTTTCCTTTTTGGATTAAAAACAAGAAAGTAATTCTGATCAGCCAAACACTTTAAACTTAAATGTATGCAACTAAGCAGTGTTTGTAATGATGTGCTTCTCTAGTTCATCTAGTTCAGCTTCTCTGCTTCAGTCGGTTTGTTCTACCAAATTAATTTGGGCTGGTGTTGATGTTGCTGTTGCATGCATGATAATACTCCTGTTACTGTACCTCTATTTGCTCATCTCATCCTGTGATGAATAACACAACATTCCTCATGGTAATACACAGGAGGGTTAATGCTCTTTTACAGTATGTGATATTCACAGCCTATTGACATCAGGTGCTATTTTAGTGGGTATTTGGTTATTAAAATCAGAGGAGTGAATTAAAGATGCTAGTTTGGTTTTTGAGTGGGCAGCTCATCTCGAGATACATGAGTAGGTGTCTACAGGGTCACCAGAGCTCACTGTAGCATATGCTACACTACATTATGAGATCTCCTGAAACAAACTCATAATCATCTCATGCGACTGAGTTTTGAAATTATGATGCAAACATATTCAGCCTATTTGACACTTTGAGTGCCTCAGACCATTAAAAAGTTTAAAACCTAAGACCATTAAAAATATTTTTTAACCTAAATCAATAGTACTTTTAACAGATGTGTTTAAAGACTAGTCATTACATTGTCTAGAAACAAAAAATATTGGGTGGCTCAGTGGTGGCCACCATGTTAACTCTTTCCCTGCACTGATGAAATTATCTGTCCCGCCACTGATGAAGTTTCCCAGCTTTCTGTGTTTTCACTGTTAGGGGGCGCTATTACACATCTTCTGAAAGAGCACAGTAAAGTAATAGTTCACCCAAAAATGAAAATATGCTGAAGATTTACCCTCAGGCCATCCAAGATGTTTGTTTCTTGAACTGAACAGGAGGAATTCAGCATTACATCACTTGCTCACCAATAGATCCTCTTCAGTGAATGGGTGCCGTCAAAATGAGAGTCCAAACAGCTGATGAAAACATCACAATAATCCAGATGTAATCTCCACTTGTGAAGTGAAAAACAAATCCATCATTAAGGTGTTTTTATATTCAAACCATTGCCTCTGGCTAGAACATGCTTTCTTCAGTAAAAAAGTCGTCTTGTCTGAATCAGGAGAGAAATATGCACAGATCAAGCACTGTTCATAAGAAAAACTGTGCAAAACAGCAAACAAATATATGCAAAATCACTGTTCTTATCAAGTAGTTGTGTATCCAGATGATAAATAAAAGCCAATGGCTGAATTCAGAATAGAATACTAGCATTCTATTGTTTCTCCCATATAATTAATAATCCCTATATATCTTTAGTATCTTTAGTATCAGCCATGATTTAAAGGGGTCATATGATGCGATTTCAATTTTTCCTTTCTCTTTGAAGTGTTACAAGCTCTTGGTGCATAAAGAAGATCTGTAAAGTTGCAAAGACTAAAGTCGCAGCATCATATGACCCCTTTAAATGTTAAATTAGTACATATTATGCAACAATAAGCATTAGAAAGAACTGTGTACCACAGCTTTGAAGCTACTTAGTGCACTTAGTGAATGATTTCAGAGTATGAATATTCAGTATGGACCACGCTAGCACAGTGTTAGCATTGCAGGGGTCAAGCACATCCCTTATGCCAACGGCACAAGTCTCTGTCCTACCAGCAGTAACAGATATCCACAGCGCTAAAGCAATACTCATCCACACCTTTTGTTGAGCCCTCTGTGTCTTTATGAATCATTAATGGTGGCACCTGGGCCGAGCTTAGGTTGTCAACAGACCACACACTGAGACTATATTAATGAATCTAGAGACACAAGCAAAATGGAGTCTCTTTAACACAAAAGCTAACTAAAACTCTTCAACTAAAACTAGCCAAGCAACTGCCATTGAGATGAATAGGAATGCTAACAGTTTTAGCATTTCATTTGGTGATGCTAGCAAAAGAGAAATTACATAAGGTTTCTTTCCTAGTCATCTCAATAGCAAAAAGTGCCTCAATTTACCTGAATTCAGCTTTACAGCTGCATACAATACTGTCATGCTTGTGTACTTTTTGTAGAGTACAGGAGGGTAGAGGGTTTTTTAAGTTAAAAAGGTACACTTTAATATATTTTTAAAAAGAGTACTTATTATGGATATAATGTACTAGCCTATAATATAATTAAAATTAAGTAAATTAAAGTTTTTTAGTTTCATTTTAAAGTGTATTAGTTTAATTTTTTTGACCCACTTAAGTAGGACTTAAGTATCTAAATGTACACTTTTTAGCTACACTTCATTTGCCTTTTATTTCATTAATATTCAATATTATCTGCAAGTACAGTTTTTAAAAAATATATAGTAAACTACAAGTGCACATTCAATACAATTGAGTGCACTTTTTCGCAAGAGGGTTGCAGTGCTGTCGAGACTTTTTGAAGTACAAAACATGCTGAGCACGCTGCAGTACAATTTAGCTTGACTTTATGAAAAGGTGAGAGAGGGGCAAAAATGAAGGTTCTCCTTAGCAACAAACCGTCAGGCAGAAGAGTAGCTACGTTTGCTCATTATCGCGCTTCCTCTCTGCTGTAACCAGGCCAGGGATTGGCTGCAGGGGGCGGGACTTGCTGACTAGTGCTCTGTGCCGGAAGGAGGACTGGAGCGGAAAATGATATCACGGGGTGAGGCTGGCACACAATCTGTCTCGCTGTGCATTCCAGAAGCTCCTAATAACTGCCTCTATTCTCAGCCCAGACCCCACTGTCACCCCAGATGCTCGTGAGCCGAGCAGCCACATGTGCTCAGGTGAACCTCAAGCCCTAGTGAAACACCTCCACCTCGCAGCTGCACGAGAAACGCTGCTTTACTTAGACGGGTCAGATTGGCAGATGAAAGGCGGTCGGCTAGAATGCAAATCGACACCTACACATTCAGACACAACACAAGTAGAAAATGTGTTCAGATTAGCATACTTGTTTTCCTCAGTCTAAATCGCTGTTTTTGTGTCGTTGCAGTTCATCCCAAAAAGAAGAATCGGCAGACGTGTGTGCGCAAGAGCCTGATATGCGCATTCGCCATGGCCTTCATCATCAGCGTCATGCTCATTGCGGCCAATCAGATGCTGCGCAACGGAATGGAGTAGTGACATCACTGTGAGCGCGGCGGAGCCTGCATGTGCATGTCTGTCGATGAAGTTGTCAAAAATTAACCAACAAACTCGAGAAACAAAACCAAACACCTCACTACTGAAAAGAGGAGCTTTTTATTCTTTTATTATTTGTATTCTCCCGTTACTTTTCCACGCGGACCAAGTGACACAGGAAGTGTACGGCGAGCCAAGCCAGCATGTTACACGGGGCCTCATCTCTCAGGCAGGGACTTTAAAGGGCTGACTTTCTGCTTTTCGTGCCACCTCTGTTCCCTAATGCAATAACACGCAGGAGTTCATAAGCCGTCACTGTCTCCTCCGTGGCTTCAGATATTTCAACAGGGATTCGCTGATGAGCTTCTGCTGGGTTCGGGTCTGCTCTGGATGTAGGAAGGCAAAAGTAATTGGCAACTCCTTACACCTTGGTGGAGGGAGAGTTACAGCATCTACTCCGGAGACTATTTATGTCTGCTCTAGCCAGAGTGATTTTCTGGCTCAGGGGATGGTGGGAGGCCAGGGAAGGAGCGCTCGTTGTAGTCCATAATTAAATCCATAGTCAATCAGCTCCAAAAATCCATCGTTTTAATCATTTCAAATGTGTTCTGCGATTCAATTGTGTGATCTTCCTCTTCCTCTTCCTTTCCACAGAATTGGAACTACCATCATTCATAAGTTGTTTCCATGTTTGTTCCAACAGTTGTTTTGTTCATACTGGCGACACACACACAAGTATATCTTGAATGCATTGTAGGTTGCTTTGGATAAAATTATCTATCATATAGAGTGCTGTGCAGCAGTGACATCAAAACCCAGAAGAGTAATTCGCCATGTGTTCCCTCAAGATTTTCCTATGGGTCTTTATATTGGGGTTTTTATATTTTTGAGGGGGAAAAATGTGTCGTAAATTTAAATTGACAATACTTGGACATTTTACTCTACAACATAAATTACACACAATCATACTGAAAAGTGAATTTTGAAGCAGTTATGCTTATTTTTAAAAATACATGTTTGTAAAAAAGTAACTACATAGTAACTACTTACAAAGAATGTTTTGGGTGTGGGTGTGTGCAATTCATGTTGTACAACAAAACGTTCATGTATCGTCAAGTTATTGTTACCACAGACCTTATTTTACTCAATAATTATTTTTAATTAAATTACAAATTTTAAATAATAATAATAATAAAAACTATATATATATATATATATATATATTTCTGTGTGTGTGTATGTATGTATAAAGCTCAAGGAAACCATGGCGAATTTGTTTTCTGGGTTTTGATGTTACATCGCAGCTGCAGCGCTCTATACATTAATGCCTTTGAATTTCTTTTTTTTTTTTTGCAATTACATTTACATTACATTATGCTAAATGCATAACTTAAGCAGTAATTTTGTTTTTTTATCAATAAAAGTATATATTTAAAGAATTATTATTATATAAATATATATATATTAATGAATTTATAATATCATTATATAAATAATATATAACTATATAATTGTATAATATTAATAAACTCTAAGATAAATAAGACAAAATACTGATAAGATTTTAACTAATTTGATTATGCTTTCAGCTACCATTAATACTGTTATACTCTGTTAGGTCTGTTTAACACATTTTACCATATTTAAATCCATTCCAAATCTTCTGTGACAAAATTAGAGCTGAAAATGTCTGCAGGTTCCCATTAGGCCTAATAAGTGGAGAACAAGATGTTTTTTGCTTGGGTTTTGCAGTACTTAAGGCGCTTAATGGTACTTTATGGCCAGTTATTGCTGGGTTATACCTGTTGTGACACATATTTTCAACATTTCTGAAAGGTTTATGATGGCTCTCAGATTTATGTTAATGGATGAGCTTGGATTGTTTTGCACTGCATTACTCCCATAAACCATACGCACAAACCCACTAGAAAAATGTATAGGAAAATAGAAAAATCATTTACTTTCTTTTTATTACGCCAGTCTTTTTTTGAGCTGCATTGAAGATGTCCTTCACTTTACCATGAGCCACAATCATGTTTATGGTTATGTGTATGGTGCATGTTCATATTGTATCTCATTTCTCTGTCTGCATTAAAGCCACCGTAGCACTGCATTGTTGATGTTTCAATAGATCTATGTAATGAAGATGCTTCACATCTTCAATATTGGGATTGTAAAAAGAAAAAGAATGATACTGGAAGATGATTGTATCTTTCTCATAGTTGTGATGGCTAAAACCCTGTGCCTGATGCAGTTGTTCTCTCTTTGCGTTTCATGAATGTCTCCTCTGGACACCTGTAGAAAACACACTGGTATATGTTCTCCACCATGTTTCCCGAGGTCTGCTTCTACTTTATTATGCATGTGAATGAGCAGAACTCTGTAAATAGAGCTTTACATGTGTGTTTCTGTTCGTGCATGATCGTTTAAAACAGTACATTCTGCACAGATCGTGTCAGGGCTACTGAGGGGGCGGCTGAAATCAATACATGTCTGCCAGCTCTCCGTTCTCCCCTGAGACCCCTGACTAAAGCCATATTTGTCTGCACAGGTGTACTGAAGAGAATAAAGGTGCATACATTGAAATTATAAAGGTATAATTATAATATTACTAGTCCAACCCCTTTTTCTCACTCAAATGTTGATCCATGTGCGGTTGGAGTGAGTGGATAGTTTATTCTGGTACAATGGCGACACCTGGTGGTTGAAGTGTTTAATTCATTCACTGTGTTTGTCCTCATACTGTCCTTTCTGATCCAGAATGTAACATTAGCTTGTAGCATTCAACTAAAGATCTGGATGGGTTGATAAAATGAAATATACTATGTGTTTAGATTATTTTGATCTCCACAATTATGTGGTGAATGTGAAAAATTAAACAATATATTTTGGGGTTGGTAGGTTGGGTGGGATTTTAGAAATTAAGGAATGTTGTACCAAACAATGTTAATATAATACATACACAGCCAATTATTTCAGTTTATTTAAAGACAATATTGTAAAATGGCCTTTTTAATAATTAGGACAATAATGTTGTGAACAAAATATCCCATGAAATCAAACTGAACTGGTTCTGTATTTAAAGTGGATTGTATTTCAAATTAAGACTTTAGGGTTTAGAAAACAAGGGTGATATGGTGGTACAGTACATTAAAATGAACTGTAAAAAAAATGTAAATAACCATATTTACAGTTATTCACTTAATAATAGATCTGTACACTTTGCATGCAGAATATTTAGCTATGTATTTCAGACTAGCTTGTTGCAAACTGCCCATAGATGATTTTAATATACATATTCAAATATGTACAGGACAAATGCATAGAGTTTATGCAATAAAGCATTTTTGTAATATTTATGGCATCTTTTCTGTTTCCTGAGAAAAACATACAGTAAGACATATTACACTGTTAATCCGTTATTGATTAGGTGTATTAATCACACAGTTTAATACTGTTTTGTTGCTCTGTTTATCACTGAGGAAAAATGCTCTGGTTACTTTCGTAATCTCAGTTCCCTGAGATAAGATAAGAGCATTGCGTTGTACGCTTATGGGGTAAACTCATGTTTACTCTGATACTGAAGCCTGATGTGTTCACATTCATGTAGCTGCATGAACAAATGGCGCTTCAACCTGCCAAAAGGGGTGGAGCTGACTGCTATATAAGTCGTCTCAGAGCGTCATTCATCAGAATCTTTTGACTGATAGCGACAGTCATCGACTCGCGTGCAGCCTTATAGCCAGCTTATGCTTCGCTCATTCCCTTATCTCAGGGAACCGAAGTTACAAAAGTAACCGGAGCATTCCCTTTCGAACGGTCTTTCCCGTTGCGTTGTCCACTTATCGGGAATGCATCCAATAGTGCTGTGCTATAAGCAAGTGCAGAACGAAGCTGCACAGATATCATCAATTGAAACTCCTCTGGACCAAGCCCAGGAGGAGGCCATTCCTCTGGTGGAGTGGGACCTCATTCCGATAGGCCTGCTGAGGCATAAGCCAAGGCAATAGCATCAACTATCCAACGAGATATCCAGTCTCTGCTGTGTACCCGGCAGCCCTATAGAGTGGCCTCCGAAGCATACAAAGAGCTGTTCTGAGTGCCGAAACGGGCCCGAGTGTTCAACATACACTCTAAGAGCCCGAACCGGGCAGAGTGGATTAGGACCCTGCTCATCCTCTGAATTAGGAAGAGCTAGCAGGGTAATGACTTGTGCAGTGAACGGAGTGGAGAGCACTTTAGGCACATAGCCATGTCTTGGTTTGAGGACGACTCTACAGTTGTTAGGCCCAAACTCAAGGTATGAAGCACTGACTGACAGTGCTTGCAAGTCGCCCACTGGCTTGACCGATGCTAAAGCCAAGAGGAGGGCAGTCTTAAGCAACAGGGGTCGTAAGTCGGCCAACAGAAGCGGCTTATCCAGCAGCTCTTGCAGAAAGGTTAACACAGATGATGCATCACAAGAGGACAGGTCCTCATTCCGTGCCACACTCCAGTCAGAAAAGACTGACCATTTAAGGGCGTAGAGGCGTCTCGTTGATGGGAATCTAGCCTCCAAAATCACTCTCGTGGGGAGCTGTAAAGATGCTCCCCGTTTGACCAGGAGTCGGACACCGGGTGAAAACGTCCCAGGTGCCAAGCGTTGGACAGTACGTGGGCTTTGAGCCAATATTGGAGGGGACACATGTGAAGCAGGCCAAGAGGAATCACAGAGGAGGCGGATGACATGAGGCAGAGCATCCTCTAGAAAACGCTGAGGGGACCTGAAGTCCCGAATCTGAATGACGCCGCTAGCCGCTGAATTGTCAGGGAACGTTCCGGCATAATCCATGCCCGCATCTGGGCTGAATCGATAACTGTCCCCAGGAAGACTACTCGCTGGCTGGGAGACGCAGAGCTCTTGGCTAAATAGATTTTTAGCCCAAGCTGCTCCAGGTGGCTGAGCAACAGCGACCTGTGAGCGATGAGTTCCTGTTCCGATCTGGCTAACACAAGCCAATCCTCGAGGAAATTCATAATGCGGATTCCCATCTGCCTCAGAGGGGAAAGAGCTGCGTCCACGCACTTTGTAAAATGTGCAGGGCCAGTGACAATCCAAATGGCAGGACTGTATATTGATAAGCCACCCCCTTGAATGCGAATCTCAAGAACGGTCTGTGATGAGGGGCTATCTGGAAGTGAAAGTAAGCATCTTTCAGATCCACCGATAAAAAACTGTCCCCGGGGCATATCTGCACGAGGATCTGTTTCAAAGTCAGCATCTTGAACGGCCATTTCATAAGCACGTAGTTCAAATGCCTCAGATCGAGAATGGGCCTGAGCCCGCCATCTTTCTTGGGAATGAGGAAGTAGCGGTTGTAAAAGCCTGACTCACTGTTTGCTAGAGAAACCGTTTCCACGGCTCCTTTTACAAGCAGAGTTTGCACTTCGGACCAGAGAATGTGAGTATCTTTGAAGTTTGAATAATACCTCTGAAGTGACAAGTGAACTGAAGCGAGTAACCTCGTTCTATGGTTTTTAGAACCCAGCTTGATACATCCGGAATGGCTTTCCAAGCATGGAGCTGGATGGAAAGTGGTCTAAGTTTTCAAGTGGCAGGTTGCCGCACGGGGCTGGGGAACTGACATTCGTGGTAATGAGAAGAGGAGAAATGCTCTTTTGAGTATGTGGGTCTGCTATCACAGCGGTAATTTTGTTGGGCATGCACTGAAGTGCGGGTCCAATTTAAACAACTAGGCGGGGGGATAGAGAGCGGATACAAGCTTTATTTAAGGGTGGGACTGTCTCGGTGGGACCTGACCCTCTCCTCTTCCTCTCTGCAAACGGATCAGGATGGCTTCTGAGGCTCAGGGTCCATCGTCACTCAGGGGTGGGGTCCCTGACGCTTAGGAAACAGGCTCAGACTTGGCTTGAGGCTGGGTCGTTGACGGCGCAGGCTTAGCAGGCTGCTGAAAGGATGGAGCTTTCTGGTGTCTTGAAGCAGCTGCCAAACTGGAGTGCTTCGGCAGTAAGTGATGCATAGCCTGTGATGACTTCTGTGCCGCCGTGAAGCGTTCAGCAAATCCATCGACAGCAGGTCCAAATAATTCCGTGGGGGAAACTGGGGAGTCAAGGAAGGCGACCCTG